CCTCAGCCTTCTGAGTAGCTGGAACTACAGGCGCGCGCTACCACACCTGGCTAATTTTTTAATTTATTGTAGAGATGAGGTCTCGCCAAGTTGCCAAAGCGGGTCTCGAACCTGCGGGCTCAGGCAATCCACTCACCTCAGCCTCCCAAAGGTGCAGGATTACAGGCTGAGCCACCGAGCCTGGCTTCAATTTTTTATTTTTTTTTTTATTTTTATAGAGACAAGGCCTTGCTGATCCTCCTGCCTTGGCCTCTCAAAGTGCTGAAACTACAGGTGTGTGAGCCCGTCCCACTTTTTAATATAACTAATGTGAAAAAGCTCAAGTTAAATCATTTTTTTAAGCCAGGCATGGTGGCTCATGCCTGTAATCCCAGCACTTTTGAGGTGGAGGCAAGAGGACTGCCTCAGTCCAGGGTTTCGAGACCAGCCTGGGCAACTTGGTGAGACCTCCTCTCTACAATAAATCAAAAATCAGCCGAGCGTGGTAGCGCGCTCCTGTAGTTCCAGCTACTTGGAAGGCTGAAGCGGAAGGATCGCCGGAGTCCAGCAGGTCGAGGCTGCGGTGGCCGGGAGCGGCCACTGCACTCCAGTCTGGGCGACAGAGTGAGACTCCAACTCAAAAAATAAATAAATTAAAAAAATAAAAGTTAGCAGGGCATGGTGGTGCATGCCTGTGGCTCCAGCTACTTAGAAGGCTGAGGTGGAAGGATTGCCTGAGCCCAGCATGTTAGTACTGCAGTGGCCATGAGTGTGCCACTGCATTCCAGCCTGGGCGATAGCGTGAGACTTTGACTCAAAAAAGGTTGCTTATGTTAAAAAAAAAAAAAGATTCAGAACTGTGTTAAATGAAACTAATGTTTTAAAAATATAGGCTGGGCGTTGTAGCTCACACCTGTAATCCCAGCACTTTGGAAGGTGGAAGTAAGAGGATTGCCAGAGCCCAGGGGTTTGAGACTAGTCTGGACAACTTGGTGAGGCCTGGTCTCTTCAATAAATCAAAAAAATTAGATGGGCATGGTGGCAGGCACCTGTTCCAGCTATTTGGAAGGCTGAGGCGAAAGGATTGCCTGAGCCCAGCAGGTTGAGGCTGCAGTGGGCCGTGAGTACGTCACTGCACTCCATCCTGGGTGACAGAGTGAGACTCCAACTAAAAACAAAATACACACACACACACACACACACACACACACACACACACACACACACACAACTACAGCAATAAATGTCCCATATTTTGAACCAAGCAGTTCATTTGCAGTGTCTCCGTTAGTCCTCATGAAAGTTGCCCCAAGTAAGTAAATAGCTGGGAAGTGCTGGAGCTGGTTTCCTTTGCAGAGTCTGAACTCTAAATGGCTACGCTTTGCTGCTTCCTTTACAAGATAGGCTTATTTATGCTTGTGTCCCAGCTATTTGGGAGGAGGCTAAGGGGAGAGGATCACTGAGGCTAGGAGTTCGAGACCAGTCTGGGCAACATAGTGAGACTATTTCTAAAAAAACAAAAAAGTTTATTTAAAAAAAAAAAAAAGTTAGCCGGGCTCGGTGTCTCAGCCTGTAATCCCGCGCCTTGGGAGACTGAGGTGAGTGGATTGCCTGAGTCCACAGGTTCGAAACCCACCTGGGCAACTTGGCGAGACCTCATCTCTACAATAAATCAAAAATCAGCCGGGCATGGTAGCGCGTGCCTGTAATTCCGGCTACTTGGAAGGCTGAGGCGGAAGGATTGCTGGAGCCCAGTGAGTTGAGGCTGCAGTGGGCGGGAGCAGCCACTGCACTCCAGTCTGGGCGACAGAGTGAGACTCCAACTCAAAAAAAAAAGTCAGTGACAGTAAAGAAAAAGTCATCCACAATCTCTCCTCTTCAGTCTTACTGTTATTTTTGTGCATTCCCAGTGACTCCCCTCCTCTCACCCTGGGAAATCAGAGTGATCACCTCTTTGCTCCTGCTTGACTAGGGACTGAGTCTAATGCCCCTGTTGGAAAGAAGTGGATTCAGGCATTGGGGGTAAGATGTCAGTGATGTTTGAATAGTTCTGCCCTAGCTAGGGAGGACAGTGAAACTAGCCCCAGGTGTGACTCCTAATGGCTGTTTGACTTGGGACAGTCATTTCACCTATCTGAGCCTCAATGTGCTAAAAAATAAAAAGCAGATAATTCTATTGACCATGAGAGATCCTTGTAAAAATTGAATAAATCTTCACAAAAATGTGGCACCATGCAGATTTAAGTCTTGTTATTGTTCTAGTCCCAAAGCTGGCGTTTGAAAAGCTGGATCCCACGGCAGCAATTGGTTTTGTTTGGAGAGACACAGTTTGCTAGTTGTAATAAATGCTGCTGGAGACATCTTGTCCCAGCTCCCACCTGAGGCTCAGAGTGAGATGAGGCAAGTTGGCAGGCTTCCCTGGAACTTCAGTGCCCAGTTTCTGTGGTTCTCAAACAGGTGTTCACCCCAAGCCCCCGGAAAGTGAAGGGATTTGAATATGCAGGGCTGTAGAATTTGGGTTTTATCTGGAAGGCAATGAGGAGGTAGAAGGATTCAGGCTATGGAGTGTGGGCATTATCCATGCAACAGGAAGCCATAAGGCTTTAAGCAGGGAAGAGACAAGCCAGATTTGCATTTCAGTAAGATGCAGCCTGAGAGGGGTATGGAGGCCACCTGAGCTGAAGGCTTAGGGCAGCCTAAAACCAAGGCAGGGGCCAGCCGGACAAGATCGGGGAAGGATGGAGGAGGGGAGAGGAAGCTGTTTCAAGGAGAGCAGCTCAGAGAAGCTTGCTGGAAGCCAATTTAGACACACCCACGCAGTATGCTGGGGTTTCCCAAATCGATGCAAAGAGGAAGCAATTACTCTCAAGAAAGCAGGTGACTTATTTATCTGGTCCTGCCTGTCTCTGGCCATGTGATCTTGTCACATTATCTGCTCAGACCTCAGTTTCCTCATCTCTTCACAGGGTGAAATGAAATACATGAGGATTTGACGTATGCAAATTTGGGCCTGGGCCTGGTGCGGTTGGTCCTCATAGCTGCTGCTTGTAGGATTCCCATCTGTCCAGTGGGCAAGGGTGCCTGTGTCTTCCCAGATTGTGGGAGGGACACTGTAGGAAAACCAGGACTTTTATCCCTAGAAAAGTGACCTGTCTGAGGTCATACGGCTAGAAGGATTGGAAGCCAGGTACATGTGACTCAATGTCAGAGCTGAGCCATCACAGGGACTGTTGTGTGTCCAACCACCACATTTTACTAATGGAGAGGCCAAGTACCAGAGAGGGAAAGACCCTTTTCCTGGACAACACTGTGAATTTGTGGCAGAGCCAGGATTAGAACCCAGGCTTCTTACTTCTAGTCTCAGACTCTCAATGGCTACCCACTTCATGGAATAATAATAACTTTCTTTCTACCTTGTTTTCAGGGAAACCAGTTCCTGAAATCAGGTCTCCCATACCAGCCTTCCCGGATGCTGTGAAGCCAGGAAGGCCTTTGACAGCTTCTGTAGGAAACACCGAGGATGGACAGGGAGAGGGGCAGCCTGAGAGGCTGGCCGCCTTTCTGGGCCCAGGTACTTTTAATTTAATTGAGTTTTTTTTAGCTTTAAGCAAATTTCTTTGAGGAAATGAAGATTTATCTATAAGTATATTCAGCTCAGCATATCAGAGCAAAATATTGGAAACAGCATTAGGAGATGGTAAAATTCATGGTAGATAGTCACAATAAACCACTGTTAACAACAACGAGATGTTCATATGTGCACAGACACATGCTCACAATAGAATGAGTTAGGAAAGTGGAAGAAGTCAGGCCACAAAATATAGATCATCTGCTACCATTTTTTGTCAAAAGAAAATAAATAACCCAGTAATTTAGTGTCTATGTGCCAGACACTATTCTAAATACTGTACTTTAAATATACTTGCTAGCCAGGCTTGGTGCCTCAGCCTGTAATCCCGTGCCTTTGGGAGGCTGAGGTGAGTGGATTGCCTGAGCCCGTGGGTTCGAGACCCACCTGGGCAGCGAGATCTCATCTCTACAATAAATAAAAAAATCAGCTGGGCGTGGTAGTGTGTGCCTGTAATTCCGGCTACTCGGAAGGCTGAGGCAGAAGGATCGCCGGAGCCCAGCAGGCAAGGCTGCGGTGGCCGGGAGCGGCTACTGCACTCCAGTCTGGGCGACTGAGTGAGACTCCAATTCAAAAAAAAAAAAAATACACTTGCTTATTTAATCTTCAGTGACTGGTATGCATTAGGTATTGTGATTGTGCCCATTTTACAGATGAGAAAACTGAAGCACAGAGAGGTTAAACAACCTGGCTAAGGTCGTAATGCTCCTGGGTCCCTGTGTTTTACCTTTGGTCTTCCCATCCACCAGCACAAGTTGGTCCTGCATGCAGGCTACTGACTGGAGACCTGACCATCTGTCTGCTTTAAATAGACCCTGACCCTTGAAGCCATGCTGTGGGGAATTGAGGGGTGCCACTCTTGCCACTGCTTTGCTCCCCTCCCTCAGTCGCAGGTCAGCTGAAGCCCAGAGAGGGAGAGCGATTTCCTCCAGGTCATATGATCAGAAAGTGACTCCTCGCTATGTGACTTGACTGCTCACCATTGCACTCACTGCTATCCCACATTTGCTTCCATCTCCTTGTGACCAGGCAAGGTCTTGGGGACAGTTTGCCAAATGACAGAAGGACTCAGCTGGCAGATGACTTCCCTGAGGGGAACCACTGCTCAACTCCTCCTTCGTTCTCATGGCCTCTCCCCTGGGACCGAGCCTCATTTCTGCTCTCCTGCAGCTCTGGAGCCCGAGCAAAGATCCCAAACCCACATCACATCTTGATGATGTGGCTCCTGAAGCCAGGGCCAGCAGTGCTGCCAGGAGCATGGATGGTGGGCTGTGATATTACACAGACCCGTGTTTGAATCCCAACTCTGCCACTTTTTTTTTTGAGTCGGAGTCTCTGTCGCCCAGGCTGGAGTGCAGTGGCATGCTCACGACCACCACAGCCTCGACCTGTTGGGCTCAGGTGATCCTTCCACCTCAGCCTTCCAAGTAGCTAGAACTACAGGTACGTGCCACCATGCCCAACTAATTGTTTGATTTATTGTAGAGATGAAGTCTCACCAAGTTGCCCAGGCTGGTCTTCAACCCATGGGCTCGGGCAATCCTTTTACCTTGGCCTTCCAAAGTGCTGGGATTATAGGCATGAGTCACTGTGCCCAGCCAACTCTGCCACTTCCTAGCAGGAGAATTACTTAGTGTCTCTGGACCTCAGTTTCTTATCTGTAAAATGCAGGTAATACTAGACTCTATTTCATCTTGTTGTAGTAAGGAATCCCATACCTCAGTGTTGATACTGTGGAAGTCCTTATTAAATGTTAGTTGATATTAGGGACATTCCAGACACCCCAGATAGGTTAACTCTGGAAAATTAACTCTAGGCCAAAGAGTCTGAGTTATTTCCTGTAGCTAAAGAATTTTTTTTAAAGTATAGACCTTGGATCGGCAATTAACGATAAGAGGAAATGGTTCTAAAGCAAACGTGATACTGGTTGATGACCAAAGGGGTAAAAGGAATAATCAAATAGGGAAATTTTAGGGGAGTGCTGGTCAGGAAGGAGGAGGTAACAAGTGCAGCCATTTATTTTGATGTTCCCTATCTAGGTTACTGTAAAAACAAGTGGCTGGCCTTTGCACTGTTTACTTTTTTTTTTTTTTTTGAGTTGGAGTCTCTGTCACCCAGGCTGGAGTGCAAGTGGCACGCTCACAGCCACTGAAGCCTCCACCTTCTGGGCTCAGGTGATACTTCCACCTCAGCCTTCCAAATAGCTGGAACTACAGGCACGTGCCACCAAACTCAGCTAGTTTTTTTATTTATTGTAGAAGCGGGGTCTCACCAAGTTGCACAGGCTAGTCTTGAACCCCTGGGCTTAGGCAATCCTCTCACCTCTGCCTCCCAGTGTGCTGGGATTACAGGCATGGAACCACTGCACCCAGCTGCTCTATTTACTTTCTTAATGGCTGTTGGAACCAAATGGCAGGTCAGATGATAGTTACAGTCTGCAGGCAGAGACAGGAAGTTGATTGTCTCTATCTTTGCCCGAACTGAAAATAAGAAAGTCATCACTTATTTCATCAAATCACCCAAAGCTTGTATTTTCTTGGGAAAACCCCAGGGTTCCAGTGAGCTCCAAAGTTCAAACTGATTGATTATCTTGAAGGGTTTTTGTAGGAGTGGAGGATACAGAGCCCACATCTGGCCCTCTGATACCCTGACTCCCCCTTGCAGTCGGGGGGAAGGAAGTGGGAAGAAACAGGGCAGAGGAAAAGATGTGAGCAGAGGAGCACAGACAGGTTATAACCGCCTCTTTAAGCGATTCTCAAGGCCAGAACTCGAATGAAAGGGCTTTGAGTAGCTGAAGTACCTGTCACAAAGAATTAGCTAAAAGAGAGACCACTGGTCTGTCAATCAGAGTCTATTTGCTCTTTTTCTGCAGGTAGTCTTATCAGCCTTGGTAGCACTATGTACTCCACAGAGACTGATCGTTGTGCTTTATAAATATCTCTTTTCATCTGGACAAGAGCTGTACAAGGAACAGACTATTATGACTCTTTTGTACATTCAAGAAAACTCAAAGAAATGATGTATAGCTCACCCAAGTTCAAATCTTTGGTAACAACGGAGCCAGGCCTTGAGCCAAGTTCTGTCTGATGCCAATAAGGAGGTGGGGAAGTGGTAGTCCCACTGCCAGCAACAGGGCAGGACACAGAAAACCCTGTCTCATGCAGCGCTGCTACATCTGCCATACTCATGCCTACAATGACACGGCTCGACAGGACAAGAGTTCGTGACATTCGAGGAAGATTTCCCTGGGATATGGTTTGTTTTGTATTAAAAGTCCTGGCCCTCGAAGGGTTAACTCTCTGTGCTTTGGAACCAACATTTATTTGAAAGCCCGGTGTATCCATCACCTGATAAGTATCAACACATGGCCCATCTTGCTTTATAGTTCCCATCCCTCTTAGATGATTATTTTAAAACATTTTCATGTGGAAAATTTCAAACACATACAAAAACAAAGAACCTGATGATCTTCCATGTCATAACCAACTCATTCCCAACTTCTGATTACCTTGAACTAATCCTTGGGAGGTTTTTTTTTTTGTTTTTTTTTTGAGTCAGGGTCTGACTGTGTTGCCCAGGCTGGAGCACAGTGGCACAGTCATGCTCCCTGCAGCTTTGACCTCCTGGCCTCAGGTGATCCTTCCGCCTCAGCCTCCCAAGTGGCTAGGACTACAGGCATGCGTCACTTTGCCCGGCTAATTTTTTGTAGATGAGGTCTTGCTATGTGGCCTAGGCTGGTCTTTAATTCCTGGGGTCAGCTGGGCTTGATGGCTCAGCCTGTAATCCTGCACCTTGGGAGGCTGAGGTGAGTGAATTGCCTGAGCCCATGGGTTTGAGACCCACCTGGGCAACTTGGAGAGACCTCATCTCTACAATAAATAAATAAAAAAATTAGCTGGGCGTGGTAGTGTGCGCCTGTAGTTCCAGCTACTTGGAAGGCTGAGGCAGAAGGATCGCCGGAGCCCAGTAGGTCGAGGCTGTGGTGGCCGGGAGCGGCCATTGCACTCCAGTCTGGGCGACAGAGTGAGACTCCAACTCAAAAACAAACAAACAAACAAAATTCCTGGGATCGAGTGCTCCTCCCACCTTGGCCTCCCAAAGTGCTGGGATTACAGGTGTGAGCCACCGTGCCCAGCCCCCAAGGAGATTTTTGTATCCTTGATGGCAGGAGAGTGTCTTCTCTTTCTCTTCTGTCTGCCTTTAGGACATGTACTGGGAGCATTGTTCTGAGTTTCTCCCACCACAGATGGAGAGGAAGAGCTAGTGGTTCCTATCCGACTTATCACCCTTGTGGTATTGGCCCAAATCCCATTCCCTTTTTTCCAGAACCACAGGGATAAACAGATTCAGCCACTCCCCCAACTAGCAGCCCTCCTAAGTTGCAGGAGCAGACTTCCATGACTTCCCCAAGCCAAGAGTCCTGACACAGCCTCCTGAGCAAACCCCAGGCATCAAGTCAGACCAGAACATCATGGCTTGTGTGAGGCCAACACTGGGCCAAGGGAGAAGACAGAGGGGCCCCGGATGCAGGGAGACTGGAACTGGAGTTGGAGGCAGTGGTTCCCAGAGTGTGGTGCCTAGAACCTGGATGTTAGGACAAGAATAGATCACGTGCACAAAAGCCAGGGTCTTTGTGGGTGTTATGCTTAACACAAGGCTAAATACATAACACGTGAATTGAAGTCAAGTGGAAATAAAACCCGCCAGGTAGCTCATAGCTTCTGTGAGGCTTCACGGAGACACGGCCAATAGCTTGGAGGCAGGATGAATGTGACCACTTGGCCAGGGTACTGAGGTGAGGCCAAGAGAAGGCAGGGCAAGGGCGGAGGTAGCTGTGGCGGAGGCGGTAGCCTTCCTGAGGGACAGGGGCCCTGGCACCAGCCTGCATTAGTTCAGGTTCGCTGAGAAGCAGGCACCAAGACGTGTTGCAACAAGACTGGCTTCCATGAGGGGAAATACTTAGAGAAAACAGGAAGGGAGCCAGACAAGGCTAGGAGACTTGGGGGGCTTGGCCTAGCCGGACTTCAGGCTAAGACAGGCTCGCCAGGGTGTAGGTTGGCCAGCAGAGTCCTGTCTCCCCAGAACTGGCCTGCCTTAGTGTCCCCTCTGCATGCAGTACCTGGGGGAGCATTGCCTAGACACAGCGGCAGGGCTGGATCAGGGCAAGCAGCAGCCAGGGCCCTCGGCCAGCCGGTCCCCAGCAGTCAGAGTCTTCAGTTTGGGTCCTCGTGGCTGCCAGGACTCAAGAAGCAGCAGGGAAGGATCCAGGGAAGGAGATCTCAGGCAGTTCCTTGACATGTCTCAGGCCTTTTAGCAGGTGAGTTTTATTTATCCGCCACCTGCCTATGATAGTTTAGCAAGCCGTATTCTATTTTGGCCATGGTGCTATTTTCAGTCTCCTGAGTTATTAATAATTTTTTTTATGGCTAAAGTTCCGGATCAGAGCTGTGCTCGGTGGCTCAGCCTGTAATCCCGCGCCTTAGGAGGCTGAGGTGAGTGGATTGCCTGAGCCCGCGGGTTCGAGACCTGCCTGGGCAACTTGGCGAG